TAGCTCTGGATTGACATTCAGGAGTTTGTCACTTATTAGCTTTGTGACAAGTCATTCATATTCTTAGAGTCTATTTCCTCATTAGTAAAATAACTATGAAATATGCCCGCCTATTTCACAAGATAGTATGGATCCACAGAAGAGATCTTGCCTTGTTCATCTACTCATCCTAACATATATAGTAAGATAGTTAAAGGCATGATGAAATAAAATACTTAAGTGTGTTTTAGACTACTAAGAACTATATGATATAAAACATTATTATAATGGAAACAGAAGGACTACAATGTTCAAGAGCTACTTGTCAAAAGTTATCTTTTAAAATGGGAAACCAAAAAGTCTGTTTACAATACATAGACTTCAAAACGGAAATGCCAGATTCTTAACTAAGAAAGAGAATTATTCCCCTTTCTTATTGGTGTCAGGTCCTAGGAACATATAGAGAAATAAGGTACATATAAGCATGGTAATTATCATACAACATGGTAACTGCTCTTACAGAGATAGAAAAGCAAAGGGGGAGAGAACACAGAGCAACTAATTTCCTAAGTAGGATGAGGCTTCACTGGGGTAACATCTGATTAGCAAAATGCGGGGGGAGGAAGCCTTGGGGAGGAGCACATAAAAAATCATTAAAAGATCTAGAATGGGGGCCGGCCCCATGGCCAAGTGGTTAAGTTTGCAAGGTCTGCTTCGACAGCCCAGGGTTTCGCCAGTTCAAATCCTGGGTGCAGACATGGCACCACTCATCAAGCCATGCTGAGACGGCATCCCACATGCCACAACTAGAAGGACCCACAACTAAAGAAATACACAGCTATGTACCAGGGGGCTTTGGAAGAAAAAGGAAATAAATAAATAAATAAAATCTTAAAAGACCTGGAATGTGTGAGATGTAGTAAAAAGTTTAGTGAGGAAGAGGGGACTAGAGAGATGGGCTAGGCAAAATTGTGAAGAACCTTGTTTGAATTGAATTCTAGAGCTAATATGATTAGTTTTGTTTTATAGGAAGAAAATAGACAAAGTGGATGAGAGAAGGCTGACGGAACAAGAGAAAAATGTTATGAGATTGAACTAAGCCCTAAGAAGGATGGAAAGAACAAATTACAGAGAGCAGACATTGGAAGAAACCAGCAGAGAGATTGAGGAGAAGGGCTCCAGATGGATGTGCTGGTTATCAATTGTTGCCTCTCAGCTCCTCTTCATCCTTTTTGTTGCCATGAACTTGGATGCGGGCCCTTTACATATTATTCCTTTGCCAGCTGGCACACTGTTAAACTTTGTCAGTAGAGGACACCAGAGAGACATTATTGGAGAAAAGAGGTTTTTGTTCCTGTTTCTGGTGTGCAGGCTCCTGTCTGCAGCACCCAGGGTTTCTCCAGCATCTGGCTCCTGCAGCTTGTGCAGCTTCTCCAAAGCCTGGCTCCTGCAATGCACAGTGGCCGGCAGTACCCAGCAGCTTCCTGTGGCACCACTCCTTCACCAGGCAGTTTTGTACCAGTTTTTCCAGGGAGACACATGCCCATGAATAGCTTTCCCTGGTACCCTAGGGGGCAGATTTCCATCCAGTTCAGCTGGTGTGGCCCCAATGACTTCTCTGCCATTCAGTGAGCCAAGGCCACGCCCTCACCAGCAAAGTCAGGACCTCAGCCTGAGAGTGGAGAAGACTTCCTGGGATGTTCTATCTCAGTCCGAGGAGGATTAGCTGCTCCTTAAATCTGCTAATCTTATATAAATTTTAGAGTTTACTTATTACTAGCCAATCCCCACTTATTCCAAGCCCCTATAAAAATAAGGTTTTTCAAATATTAAACAAAGAAAAAGATACTAATTTTTTATATTAAATTTTCACTATTCAAATGACTATGTGATTTCTTTCTCCTGGTTGGATCCAGATTGACAAAGAGGGGCTGAAACATTACTATAAGATCAAATATACTTGAATTTGGGGAAGTAGCTCAGTTTTGGACATCTTATTGTTGAGGTCCCTGGAGCCTATCTAGAGGAGTATTTTAACAAGCTACTAAATAAATTACTTTAAAACTTTAGAGAGACTTTAGGGTTGAAGATATATTTGGGAGATATCAGAATATAGAAATACATACATCTTAAGTGAAGATATGAAAATGGGTCACATAATCTGGGAGACAGTGCATCATGAAAATTAGATTACAGATAAATGCACAGCACACCCAATATTTAAGGGGTTGGCAATAAAAAAGGCCAGCAAAACAGAAAGAGAAAAAAATCGTCATCGATATAACATCACTCAATTTAAGAGAGTATTTTGAAAGAAGTGGACGTTCAGCAAGATCAAATGCTAAGGAAAAGTTGAAGAAAATGCGAATTTTTAAAAAGGGCTATATTTAGTACTGAGAAAATCAACAAAATATAGCAAAAGAAGTCTGTAAAATGGTAAAAGTAGTAGCCAAACTACAATGGGATGTCATGTGAATAAAAGTTTTGTAAGTACATTTATAAGTTCAGAGTACTTTTTCAAAAAGTCTGAAAGCAAAGGGAAAAGAAGTCAGTGGCTTGAAGGAAGCTGAAAGGAAGACTTTTTGCTTGCATTGTGGAGTGAATGTTTCAATGAGCAGGACTTGATGAAAGCAAAGTCACCATATCATAGCAAAGGAGATGAGAGTAGAGATGAGGTAGGATGCTTAAGGAGCATGAAATGTTTGTGAAGCAATAACGAGCACTCACTGAAGACAAACAATAGGACTAATGAGGGTTGAGGGTACATCAGAGGTTAAGAACACCAATTCTGTGTTTGACACCACTAGTCCCTTTTTTTTTTCCCCAAAGATTGGCACCTGAGCTAACAACTGTTGCCAATCTCTTTTTTTTCTGCCTTATCTCCCCAAATCCCTCCAGTACACAGTTGTATATCTTAGTTGCAGGTCCTTCTAGTTGTGGCATGTGGGATGCCGCCTCAACGTGGCCTGACCAGCGGTGCCATGCCCGTGCCCAGGATCCAAACCAGGGAAACCCTGCGCCGCTGAAGGGGAGCACACGAACTTAACCACTTAGCCACTGGGCCAGCCCCGAGACCACTACTCTTCAGCTCAACACTGGCTTCTAGAGTTTAGCTACTTTTCAAGCCCCAAAATTTTGCTTCACTACTGGCCCAGCAATTTCACTTGATGAAACAAAGATTTTGCAACGCAGATAGTAAAAACGGTGCTGTTTATAGGAAAAAAAATTGGAAACAATATCCAACAATGGAATATCATACAAGGAACACTTAGAAATATAGACAATGTATAAGTTCATAAGACTATTAAATGAACAAAGCACAATCTAAATCAGCATATACAGCATGACCCAATTACTAGAAAATATAAAAGTACAAGAGAAAAAAAGAGATGAAATATAAATACAAAAGGTTAACAGCTTTATCCCTGGGGAGCAGGATCACAGGTGAATTTTATTTCTTCTACCTACATAATGTTTTTCAAAATTTCTAAAATGAACATAATTTTGCTGCATGTAGCAATTTTGACACATATAGTGTTTTCATTAGGAAAGCTCTCTTGGACTATAATTTGGGAGAAGGGTGTCACCACAGCAGAAGGACACTGGACTGCCTACAGAAAGAGGCAATAGGAACTGGGTGGATAGCATAAATGGACAGCATAAGAATAACAGAGGCTAACTTTTCGTCTAATTAAAATTTTATCCTAAGACTGACCCCACTCCCCCCCCAAAGTAAACTTTTTAAAAACTTTTCCTCTACTGTCCTTTGCCATAGCCCCTGATATCAGGACTAAGAACATACGCTATTTTAAAAGGCTTTTGCGAAAGCTACCTACAGATTACGTTATCTATGAAAAATGTTATTCTGAGCTACAAGCAACTACCTTATTAGTGAACCGTGTAAACACAAAGGATCCTGGGCCGGGAATTCCCTATATCCAAGGCAACACTGATTTTATAATGCTCTGAATACTCAAAGCAGAGTTTCATAGCTCAGACTTTCAGATTCAGATTTCACTTCCAGATTCCTATATTCTAATTGCTCAATAACAGTAACAGCTCCTACAAAGCAGTAGACGATAACTTGTTACTTTTCTATCGGCCCTGAGACGTGGGAGGCAATTATAAAAAGCGAACCGTGGGGTCACGGCTGCTGTGGGAGGACCACAAAAGAGTATCACCCGGAGCAGTAATCCAGGAAGTGAATACCAAATAGACTGCCACACGAAAATGTTTTATCAACTAAATGTTAAAGAATCAAAGTAACTTTTCTCTGTGTACAATCAAGCCAGAATTAGGCATCTTTAATCATAAAGGAGATTAAACTGAAGACAGAAATCGCCTTGCTCCAAATGCCTAAACATAGAAAGATATTTTGAACATGTCTACAACGAACTAAATCCAACAGGCTTTCTCCCAACCGGGTGACAAGCTCCGACCTCACTGCGGGAGTCCTCGCTCAGGAACGACATCCCGATGTTGGTTTGGGGACACCGATGCACTGACACAAACAGACGTGCTTTCGGTGAATGCAAGGCACTGGTGAGATGACTCAGAGGAGCTGTAACCGAGAAGATAAGGGTTGAAGTTAAGCAGCGTGTTTTCTAAAATAAAAACAAAGAATCTTTTTGTCGTCAGACTTTGGGATTTGTAAAAAGTTAAACATACTGTACATCAAAACTCTCTATTAAAATGTGACAGAAGAAGGTCAGGGGTGAGAAACATTCTCGGCGGCAGCGAAGGGCGGCTGCACGCTGAGAGAAAGAGCCCCCTTTAGAGGCTGGGCAGGCGCCGGCCAGCCCGCAGAGACTCAGGAAAGGAAACCTGCAAACGCTTCGAAACCGGGAGGACAGGAAGCCCTCAGCAGGGGAAACTCCCCGACTCCCACGCACACCCCAACCTCCCACACACGGGGCAGCAAGGAGCCCGCCCACCGGAAGTGAAACTGAAGGAAACGCCACGTCGAAGGCGTGGGTGACGTAAGCGCGCCGACGTCAGTCGCCGTCCTTCCGGCGATGGGTGGTCCTGGGAGCTAGACGGGAGGCGGAGCGGAGGCGGGGCCTGGGTATGGTGGAGGCTCTGGTGGGTAGCTGGGTTCAGACCAGGGGGACTACGGGTCGGCGTTGGGCTCAGTGGGCTCGAACAAAGGACGGTCCGGTAGGGCCTCGGCGCGGCGTCTGCTGACGGGTAGCTGAGCTTCTCAGTTGACGGGTAGTTCGAGGCTTCTCGGCCACCCAGTGCCTCCGCCGCGCGGTCTCAGGCGGCTTCTCGGTTCCCCGCAGCCAGCGCCGCGGTGGGGGCCCGGCCCAGCGGCACCTGCTGCCGAGGGACCCCCGCGCCCGCCAGGTGCTCATGATGGGGCTCATCTTCGCTAAACTATGGAGCCTCTTCTGTAACCAAGGTGAGAAGGAAGGAGCAGCGCCACGGCTCGAATCCGGAGTAGAGGGTTTGGGCAGGGAGGGGACAGCCGGAGTCCCGGTGGACACGGTTGGAATCCGGAGTGGAGGGTCTGGGCACAGAGGGGGCAGCGGGAGGCAGGGCTCCCGGTGGACACGGCTCGATCCGGGGTGGAGGGTCTGGGCAGGCAGGGGACACCTGGAGGCAGGCCACCCGGTGGACACGGCTGGAATCCGGGGTGGAGGGTCTGGGCACGCAGGTGGCAGCCGGAGACAGGGCTCCCGGTGGACACGGCTCGATCCGGGGTGGAGGGTCTGGGCACGGAGGGGACAGCCGGAGGCAGGGCTCCCGGTGGACACGAACGTTGAGAAACGCAGAGGAGTGCAGGGGGCGGGTAGAAACTGAGCACTTTAGACTGAGAGAAGGTGCAGGAGAGACGGGATGTGTGGGGGAAAAGGGGAGTCATTGGAGGAGGCATTTGGTGTCCCAGGATCAAAGCTAAGAATCTTTGGATTTTAGCGGACCCAAGCGGAAAGCACCTAACGATACCTGGAGGCGTTTCGAGGGCCTTTTCCAGCTCTGATCATCCTGTGTCTTGCCCTAGTCTAAGTGTCCATCCAGAAATCTATCAACTTTTTTTTTTCTTTTAATTTCTATTGCTGCTTTGTTTTCCGCCCTGCTCTTTAAGTCAATGCGCCTTCACGGTCCCTCTGATTCGCCTGCTCTCTAGGACTTGGGAATGACTTGTCCTATTGACATACACAGGTTTCTGGAAATCTTCATCCTAGAGGCGTTATTCTTTTCTTAGGTGTTAGAAAACCAAATGTTTTTGGTTCTGTGTAGGATATCGCGTGTCCGTAGTCAGTCTAGAACTGGGTTTGAGACATGTAGAAGTTGCAAGTCCAAAGGGCCAGGAAGTTGTAAAGCCTGTTCTGAGTCAGAGAATGAGATGTGATGTCTCCTAAAGAGAGAAATTACCCGGACAAAAGCGGCCAACGATAGGTGAAGTTTCAGGCATTCTTTTAACAATGTTATCTTAGTAATTGAAACTGGTTTTTAAATTGAGCTAATTTCATTTTGCGTTTAATACCCGGACATAATAGAAACCAGTGTTTTATGATGATGCCAATTTATTACTGTTAATGTGGGATCTTTTTTCTGGATTTAAGAAGTCATGGAGAGAATGAAAGTGGCTTTAGTTCACTTGTGTAGATTGATAAGAATGCTAAGATAGTCTTTTTCAAGGTTATCAGTAAAGTATATACATACGCATAGACATATGTGTGTTTATATATGCAGGTACCACAGATACCGCTTTTCATGTGATTTCCGAGTGGCCAGAGTTTAACTCCTTCTGGATATAATGCATTATTTTTTCAGCAGTTTGTTTTTTCTAATTCTTGTTACGTAAATTCACTACTATGTAAAGCAGTGTTTTAAGACATGCTAAGTGGTGTAAAGCTTAATACAATGATCACCTGCTTGTCTTTTCCCGTAGTTTAAGAAATAAAACACTACCAAAGTCATTGGTTCTTTTTGTGTAACCCATTCTCCTTTCTCCCCTCTGTTTTATTACTGCTGTTTATCATTTTTTTGAGGCTTTCTTAACCAGACTAGAAGGGAATGAAGGATGTAGAGGGAAAATTCTGGAGATAATGAAAGCCATTCATGGGCTGCCTTTATGGTCACATAATTGTTCAGTCCTCTGAAATCCCTGTTACTATTTACAGTTTTTATTTTTCTTTTCCTTTAACTTTCCTGTTGAGAATTTAGAACTAGTGATTATTGTCATTTTATTCCCATTCATTCATGCAGCCAACATTTCGGCATAGGCCATAAGCCAGTCTTCAGAGTTAGACATGGGAGATACAAAAATATAGTTACTTGCTTTCAAAGTACTCAAAGATCAGTAAATAAGACAGACAGAAAAAAATGCAGTGTGGTAAATTATTTAACAGATATGTATAAAAGTGTAGTAATGATCACCAAGAAGGCAGTAATTAATTTTTGTCAGGTGGCTCCTGAAAGACTTTACAGAAAAAGGTACACTTGGACTTTAATGATAAGTAGTTTACAGGGCCTGCTAGGCAGAGTGTGTAGAAGGGCCATTTATTTTAGGCAGAAGGACTAATATTATGCAAATAGGAGAGGAGTGAAATAGTTTGGCACGTTGAAGGAAGCTGAAAACACTTTAGTTTGGCTGTTACCTTAGTTTGCCTGTGGAGAGGTAGAGGAGGTGAGGTTGGAGAGGGACCCAGATCACAGAGGGCTTTGTATGTGGACTAAGACATTAAACTATAGAGCAAGGCTTGGGAGCTATTGAGAGTTTGGTCATTGTCTGTTATTTCTAAGGCAGGGGAATAATGTGATCGGATTGGTACTTTAGTCCTGTGTTTTTATTTCTCTATCAACAAACTTAACTGACAGTCTCAGCATTTTCCATTGTCCATTTACATTTTCATTTTCCATTTTCACCACGATGACACGTCAGAGATATTCCAATCATCCGCTCTTGGTTGCGTATTAAAATAATACACCCTAGGCCCCACCTCAGACCAGTGAAATCAGAGTAGGGTGGGGCGGCCTGGTATCAGTGCCAAGATGATTCAAATGTACAGCCAAAGTTGAGAACTACTTAACTTACCTTAAACACTCATTTCCCTTATCTTTCTTCCAATATTTGCCTCACACCTACCTTTTTTTCTTGTAGCGTTTTAGAGCACCAAACATCTTATAAATTGGATACCTTTCTGGGATTAAGTGTCTTAAAGCATGTGTTGTCTAAGTAAAAGTATTACAAAGTACATAACTAATCTTTGCAATTTTATGTTGCTTAATTTTAAGCTAGAAGACTGATTTACTTATCAATGAAGGAAAGAATTTCAAAATCTAATTCTCTTTACAAACATTATTTTATGTATCTGTGTGGTTGTGTATCTGTGTATAAAATATATATGTATGTGTCTATGATGTCCTTAAACTCACCTCACAAGTTGAGCATTCCTTTTTTAAAAACATTTCCTTTGTACCTTTCGTAGACCTTGGTCTTTTTCTCTCTCTCTTATCACTGTACAGCTAGTCATCAGTTATTTCTCGTTTTACCCAGAATTTAGGACGAATGGAATATAATTTTAATTGTAGCTCATTTTCAGACCCAGATAACAATGACATTTTAATTTCATGGTCTAATCATTTCTTTCTCATTGGTGAATTTCATGTTATTGTTTTGAGCACTGACAGCCAACTCTTGAAGGCATTGTTACTGTTCTTCACTTCTGTTGGGTCGCATCTAGTGTCTCACATTTCTCCCATTAGCTTATTCTGCTCTTGATTCTGGACTTCTTGCTGGTTTCAAACACACCAAACTTAAACTTGCCATCTTTCTGCTCCCTGTTTTCTGGCACACTCTCTCCATACCTTCAAATGGTTCAGATTTCTGATCGAATGTCACTCCTCAGAGTGGCTGCCCCTGACCACTTCCCACCGCAACACTCATTGTCTGTGTCTCTACCCTCCTCTGTTTTTCTGAGTAACATTTATCACTACCTGTAATCATATTATGTTTGTTTACTTGTTTGTTGTCTGTTTCTTTCACTGGAAATAAACTCCTTGAGGCATGAACTTTGTCTTACTCACTATTGTATTCCCAATACAAAAAGTTTTTCGTTGAATTTTTTGTTTTTTCAAACATAAAATTTTCTATTGAAGTAACACACATTCTTTTAGAAAAGTTGTATAATTCAAAAGTCTTAAAATGATATATATTAGTCACATATCTTTAATGTCTTAACTTTTTTCCCAGAATATACTTCCATGTTTCTACATAATATGCGTATATGGAAATTTTAAACATTATCATTTTTTTAAATTGAGATATAATTGATATATAACGTTATATTAGTTTCAGGTGTACTAATCGTTTGTCTTATTATGGTAGAAGAGAAATTGGTACTTTCATGCCCTTTTCCCTCATCATCCCAGTATAGTTTTTTGGTTTCATCCACACACTTGCCTTTTATGTGTGTGTGTGTGAGGAAGATTGGCCCTGATCTAGCATCAGTTGCCAATCTTTATTTATTTATTTTTTCTTCTCCCCAAAGCCTCCTAGTACATAGTTGTATATTCTAGTTGTAGGTCCTTCTGGCTCTGCTATGTGGGATGCCACCTCAGCATGGCTTGATGAGCAGTGCTAGCTCTGCACCCAGGATCCGAACTGGCAAAACCCTGGGCCGCCGAAGTGGAGCCCGCAAACTTAATCACTCAGCCACAGGGCCGGCCCCTCAGCTGTCATATTTTTAGTTCATAAAAACTTTTTCTTTTTTTGCTAAATTTTAGGGGTTTTTATTGTTCTTGTAACAGTGTTTCACACTGTATGTCTTCTAAGTTTCTTTGAAATTTTCTTCTCTAATTTTTTGTTTCTATTTATTTTTGTATTAGCTTTTCACATTAGAAAGCTTTCCCCATAGATAGCTCTGTTGAAAGTAATTCCATTGCATGATATACCACAGTTTGTTTATTCACATCTTGACAGGTTGTAATACTATGAACATCCTTAAGACTTTTCGTAGACGCGTTTTCGTTTCTCTCAGGTGAATATCTAGGAGTACAATTTTTAGGTTATGAGGTAGATATAGGATTTGTTTCATAAGAAACTGTTAGATTGTTTTCCAAAGTGGTTATGCCATTTTATACTCTCACCAGCAATGTCTCAGACTTCTACTTGTTCCACATCCTTACCAACATTTGGTGTTGCCAGTCTTTAATTTTAGCTATTCTGTTAGCTGTGTAGTCGTATCTCATCGTGGTTTTAATTTACATTTCTCTTATGACTGTTGGGTGTTAAGCACTTTTTCATGTGCTTATTGGCCATTTGTATATCTTCTTTTCTGGAATGTTCACATACTTTGCTGATTTGTTTGTTTATTTTTTTAGTTAAGATTGGCACCTGAGCTAACATCTGTTGCCAGTCCTTTTTTTTTTTTCTCTCTTCTTCTTCTCCCCAAA